GGCTCACAGCCTGGCCTCTGGCTCTGACCCCGCCTCGGCCAGCACTGACGCTCAGGCGAGGACCGTCCCTCTCTCGGTCTCCTGTTATCTTGTCCTAGCTCTAGCCCGTCCCCACAAGCAGCCTTGTCCCCACCTCAAGCTGGTCACCCGAAGCCACAGGCAATGAGGGCCTGTGCAGGACCTGTCACAGAGACCTGGGCAGACACCCATGGGGCCCGCCCACTTCCAGCCTGGCTTTGTTTCCACGAGGTAGCAGTGGGGACGTGCAAGGGATACACACCCACACGGCCACTGTCCCTCCCCAGTAGCGTCTCTGATCAGGGGTTACAGTTCACCTCTCCTTTTGGGACATTCCAATATATGCAGAGGCCAAAGAATCTCAGAAAGCGAATGATATTCTGAACTACCATGGTCTCCTTTTCCAACAAACTCCTACTCATCATCTAAGGCCCCAAACAAATAGCCCCCACGTACAGACCACAGTGCCTCCATTGCACTACACACACACACACAAAGCTACCATGGCATTTAGTACATTTAGGTGTAGTTAGACATTCACTTACTTGTCTTTCTCTTTGCAAAATTGCCTTCCCTGAGGACAAAGACCTTGGTCTTAATCACCATCATTTTAACTAAATTATACTTCGAACCACGAACTGGGATGAGGACCTTTCCTGCCTACATCATTATAGCTCTCACAACAATCGGGCAAGACAGATATTGCTGCTCATCTCACGGATAAGAAAACTGGGGTCCAGAGGGGTTAAGCCACACAGCCTGCAAGTGGCAGAGTCCCTTTCCCTACCCTGCATGTCTAAGTCAGCTTAAAATCCCTGGACCCTGCTCAGTAGCTATTCAATAAATATCTGTCATGCTCATTAAAAAAAAAAAAAAAAATCAGTGGATCAGATCTGGACTTTGAGGAACAGGCAGAGTTGAGTTAGGCTGAACCGTAGCACTAGTCAGAAAAGTACATTGTGTGTGTTAGAGAGAAAGACAGACAGACAGACACATTAATAGCCACTGTATTGGCCCTCTGGCTGATAGGAGAACTCATGCGGCAGAATACCAGAACACAATACCAAAAGGTCAGTGGGGAAAGTAGGTTGAGGCCACGTGGGTAAAAGCCTAGACTGCCCAGCTTAGCAGTTGAACTTGGCAGAGTGTCAAGGACACAGCCACCCCTGAGACTCCACTCCCTGACCCCGACTTCTAACCTCACGCCCACCCCTGCCCAAACACCCCGGCACTGGGGTCACCTCCCCGGGGCACACCGGAGGGCTGAGAGGGTGGCCCCGGGAGGAGCAGGGAGGGGCGGGACAGGGCAGCGCTGAAGGTCAGCGAGGCAGGCACGCACCCCTAACGGAGGTGCCGGAGCAGCACTGCTGGGCACAGACACAGGCAAACGCGTTTGAGCAAATTGCAACGCCATAAAAGTCTATTACAGCAAATCAAACAGCAGTCAGCGTGACAGCCATTAGCCTGAAATGAATACACGGGGACTTAATGAGGTCTGTCGAGGCTGGCTTGGTGAATTAAGTTGCCAATTCTAGCAGGATTTCCCTTTTCTTTACGGACTTGAAAGCATCCACGCTGCCTCGTTAGGGCTTCGACAAGTGAATTGCAGGGCCTTTCACCCTGATAAAATGGATAATTACATGGAGAACAGCTTAGTGGGGGGAGAGGGGTGGGCGAGAGGGGAACCGAGAACAAACAAACCCAAACACACACCTGCCTGGCTGTTCCGAGCAGGAGCAGGGGCCGGGCGGGGTGGGGGCTCTCAGAGGGTGGGGACCAGGAGGGGTGGGTGGGGCCAGGGAGCTGGCCTTGGTAGGGTCCCACAATCCCCAGCTGCTCCTGGCCTGAGGGGCCTGGGTCCCCGTGGGCCACGTGTCCAGGCAGGGCTGAAAGTTCTCATCCAAGATGGGCTGCCCTCAGCACCCCTCAGCAAACCTCCGGAGGGACCCCTGGGGGCTTCCTGAGCCTGGCTGGTCTTACTGCACGGAAGAGTTGGCTTAAAATGCAGCTTCCTAAGCCAGCGCTCCCAGGCCTGCTGATGCAGAACCGCAGGGCCCGGGAATGTGCACCCTAACTGGTCCCCCAAGAAATTCTGCTGGGGCGCGTTTGGGACCCTCTGGTTCATCACTTTCCCAACAGGCAGTGCTGATGGCTGCTGAGAGAAGTGCTCCTCCTGCTCCTGCTTGCTTAACTCCGGTGATGGGGAGCTTAGTCCATCCTCAGCAAGGCAGGGAGTAGACTATGTGTGGCGGCGGGAGGGGGGGGCGGCGGGGGGGTGGGATCTCATTGTTAGAAAGTTTTTCCTTATGTAGACCTGGATTTGCCACCCTGTACCGTATTCCCTGTATTCCCTGTGCCTGTCCCTGGGTACTGGGCACAACAGACCCCATTCTCACTAGGGCCCTAGGGCTGGGGAGGGGAGGTTGGGAAGGTAGGGCACAGGGTGCAGGTGGCTGAGACGACCACGAGAACTTCTCTGCCAGCCCCTAAGGAACTGAAGGGTAAGAAGGAGCTTTCCTTCTGGGTTTCATCCTCAGATCACGGGATGTCGGCCTGGACTGACACCCTAGTCTGATAGCTGTTGGGACTGAAGCCAGCAGAGGGGCAGTGACAAGTTTAAAGTCTTCCCCAGCCAGTTGCTGGCACAGCTAGAACTAGAACCCGGCCTCTTGACTCCGGTCTCCCTCTTCCCACGCCACAACACAGGAGAATCCACTGCTCATCTCAGCCAGAGTCTGCTGGAAACACACCTACTCCAGGAAGCCTGCTGAGATTTCTCTAATCACTCCGCAGCCCTCTGGCCCTCACGCCTAACAGAGTCTCCAGTGCCCCTACCCTGTGCCCCACCATTTCTCTGGTCTGCACTGTCACCCTGTTCACGCCCGCAGGGCCTCTGCCACTGAATCACACTTCTCAAGGGCAGGGGTCTGAGGTTTCAGGGTGACCTCAATGCAGGCAGGAAACCCTGGGCTCCACTCGGGGCCGGGGGCCAGTAGACCCTGTGCGGGTACCCCAGCTGGGGCCCGGGCCAGACAGCTAAGTTCCATCTCAGGTGACCACACCAGGCCAGGGCTGGTCAGTGCCAAGCCACCTCAGGTCAGGAGTGGCCCGGCCTCCGTCCAAGTGACACCACATCCCCACTGGCCACGGGGAGCAGCCCCAAGTAGGGCATCGAGTATCGGGCCACTGAAGTGACCTGGGCATGTTTACACACAAGCAAGTAAACCATGCGGGCCTTGCTCCAAGGACTATGTGTCCTTTGCAGCTGGCCCCTCTCAGCCTCCCCCGACCCCCCACATCAGATGGGCAGGAGCGGGCCACTTTATCCTGCCTGCCCTTCACTTTTATTAGATAAGCAAGACTGTGGCTCAGAGAGGTGAAGTGACATGCCCAACGAACCCAGCGATCTGGGAGCAGAGCAGGGGCTAGGCCTAGGGTCCCCTGCCTCTAGTTCCAAGTCCTGCCATTCCACGTCCCTGTGGCCTCCCAGGTCTCTGTGCAATGAGAACCTGGCTCAGAGCCGAGCCCACAGCAGACACTCAGTAAATATTTGTTAAATAAATGAATGACCGAAGAGGCCCTCTCCTTGGAGGCAGAGGCCTTTGGCGAATCCCAGGGGATCCCAGCAGGGCTGGGTGTTGGAGGTGACATCTTCCGGAGCAGGACAGAGGAAAAGCCTGGCCCTGGCCCAAGGGCTGGGGAGGAGGGACGCGACCCCGCGTCCCCTTGCCAGTGCCGCTGCCTGCTGCCCCTGCGAGGGAAGACAGAGGGCGGCCGCGCCTGCCAGGACGGCAGCTGAGCACTGGGTCCGAGGCTCATTAACTCCGAGCCGTGCCCTTGGTTTCTGAGCCCAGGCCCGGAGTGCAGGCTGGCACGTAGAGGCCCTTAATTAAATTAGGGAGACTTCCAAATGAGAGAGAGCGGGAGCCAAGCTGCAGTCCCCGGGCACTCCGGCCACAGCTCAGGGCACCGTGCCCCATGCTTAGGACTGTCCCACCCCTCCTGTCCCACCCCAGACAGGGGAAGGGCACAGCGCCTCTGCTACGTCCCCACCCGAGCATTTGTCCTTCCCTCCGTCTGGCACAACAGCTGAGTAACTCAGGCCAGGGACCGGGTGGCGTGAGTCAGATCTCGTCACCCCTGAGGGCATCTGAGCCTTGAAGTCAGGAGGTTCAAAGTAGGCAAGTCACTCCCATGCGGAGCCTCCTATACGAACTGAATAGGGTATTCTCTGAAGACTCCTTTTGTTCCCTGCCCCAACGGCTGATAACATTAAGGGGTTAGAATTCAGATGCCACGGTGCCAACCTGCTTTTCCAGAGGGTTTTGTCACCTACTATTCCCATCCCAACCCTTTACTGCTGCCCTAGGGGACACCCGGTTAGAAGCTCTCTACCCACCACCTACGGGGTCTTTGAATCACTAACTGCCAGCCCTGTAAGACTGCCATCAGCCACCGGGGTGAGGGCCAGCGAGTGACGAGAACCCCGGTGCCATCGGGCACCAGCAGCCAGCTTATTAACGAACCGTTTGTAATGCAATAATTTGTACTTCTCAATTACCAGCAATGGCTTGATTTTACACGCATGCACTCATGCAAACATGCTCAGAGTACACACACCAGGGCTGGGAGACAGTGGGGGCGTGAGCAGGGCTGGGGAAAGCCCTTCCTGGAACCGCAAGCTCGCTGTGTGCTGGGGGGACCTGATTCTGGCCAAAGCAGGAAGGCCTGGGGTCCGGCCTGCCCAGGGCCCCCACTTGGCTGTGAATGAAGGGAGGAGGTGCCACACCTGCCCCTCTCCACTCCTGTTCCCAGGCTGGCTCCCATCCCCAGAGGTGCCGGCATGTTCACCAACCTGCCCAGCGTTGACACCGGGGCGGAGGTGTGGGCAGCGGGAGAGCCAGAGCTGCCTCTCCCCAGCTGACTTGGCACCGACACCCCGAGGCCGACACTCTCCCAGGGGCAACCCCGGCAGCTCCTACCTCCGGGATGCGGACGCTGTAGGGCTGGTTGTGGAACGTGGGCGCGTTGTCGTTCACATCTCCAACCTGGATGTTCACTTTCCGCGTGATCACCTGGCAGGAGAAGGGCGGGGAATGAGCGCTGCCCCTGCCTCCGGCCTCTTCCCGCCCAAGGGGCTGCCCCCCCAACACACCTCCCAGGACAGCGGGGGGCCGGGGCACACTCACCCCCTGGTGGTCGCTGACGGAGAACTCCACCGTGAACTCGGACTTGGTCTGAAAGGAAAGGCGGGGAGGGGAGAGGGCAGAGTTAGAGAGGCGCGCTGAGGTCCTGGGTCCCCGGTCCTAAGAGGGTGTGGGAGGGCTCCAGTATTGCCCCAGAAACGTGCCTGCCTGGGACCAGGTATCCAAAGTCTTCCCTAAAATCTAGCATTGCCCTTTGGGTTGAGGAAGTAGGTGTGGAATATGGACCCTTCCCTTAAAAGAGCAATAAAAGGGAGAAGTCAGGCATCCTGAGGTCTTGCCTGTGTCTCTAAGTCGCTGTGTGATATTGAGCAAGTCACTAGACATCTCTGTTGCCCCTTCCTCAAATGCAAGGAGAGGGCACAGGTTAAGGTTGTGTTCAAACCCTTATCCTAATTTGTTAAGGGCTACTGTGCCGTCAATCCCTGCTTCTCTGGAAAACGTCCTTTGGGGGAACGTTTGGTGGGGGTGAGGGTACTGTGTACTCCCCACAAAGCCCCATTCTGCAAAGGATAAACCCAGGGTCACTGTCCCTCTTGTCTACCCAACGTTGCCCCTTGCATTGAGAAACCCTCAGCATCCCGTTCCAATCCTAAGTCCAGACGTTGGCCCTTGGAGAGAGACACCATTCAGGCAGGAAGATGCTTCTTCAGAGTCAGAACGGGGTCTCGGAGGAAGGCCCCTAAAAGAAGATGAGCCACTCTTGCCCCAGGGTCTGCTCCTGCCCCCAGGAAAGGACTGGGGCAGGGGTACAGGCGAGCCATACCTCTCTGTCCAGCGGCTGCCGGAGCCACACCACGCCAGTGTCAGGCTCCACAGCGAAGAAGCGGGAGGCCTCCTCCCCAGACACGCCGAACACCAGGGGGTCATTGTCCATGTCTCGGGCCAGCAACTGGGTCACAGAGGAACCTGGGGTAGCCAAGGGAGAGAGCAAAGGGCAAATGTGGGAGGTCAGGTTCATTCCTTAGCACTTTGCTCAGGTGGCCGAGCTCCCAGCAGGGAGCAGCCACTCAACAAACCTCCAGCAGGTCCCTGATCATCACAAGAACCCCTGTGCACCTTTGGGCTCTGACCCAGGCTCCCCACCTCCACCCTAGCCCACTTGTCACGGCCGTACTGATGGCAGAACCATCATTCACCATGTTCTGGGTGCCTAACGGACAGCTGCAACTTTTGCCTAACCCCTTTTTCTGATCTTAGTTTGAAGACCCCCTTCTCCAAGTGGCTCTGATGAGAGTAGGCCAACATTTCAAGTCCTATGTTCCAAGATGGGCCCATAATTCAGCCGTAGCCAATCAGAGCATTCCATTTCCCTGGTCGTGATGATTGGTTCAGGAATGAGCATGTGACCTAAACTAGCCAATCAAAGCCAGCCTTGGGAGTTTTGTTGGAACAACTGGGAAAGAGGAGCTCTCTTTCCACGGGAGTTGCTCCTTGGCACCACTAGCAGCCATCTTTGGTACCACACAGGAAGGGCCTGCCCTAGAATGAGGCCAACAAGGAGGAAAACAGAGCCAAATGGTGCACAGAAAGGCAGATTCCTGATGGCTTGAGAGTCTGTAGCCAGTTGTGTCTGATATTAGCTCCATCTTCTGGACTTCTCAGCTACATGAGCTAATAAAACTGTCCCCCACCAATCCCCCCACACACCTGACACCTTTTCTTTGGCCTAAATCAGTTGAGTTGGGTTTCTTCTGTCTTTTGCCAATGGAAGCACTTTTTCTAATTCAGAATATTTTGCAAAACGTTGTGGCATTCATTCCAGAGTGACCAGATGCTGGCCTTGTGATAAACACTGGAGTACACAGAGCTTAAGAAGATGTAGCTCAGCCATAAGGAACTCTGGCCTAGAAGTGGGTGACAAGCTCTCGTTCCTATCCTCAAGAAAGGGGTTGAGAGGTAGGTGTCATCCGTCACTGGGAAGCAAAGCCTGGGGCAGAGGCCACCCAGGCAGCAGGATGCTTGGCCTGTACCCTGCCTAAGAAGCATCTTCTTCTGGGCTTCACAGCTCCCTGTGTAGTTTTCAGGTAAGGTGACCAACCACCCTGGTTTGCCTAGGACTGAGGCATTTCCCAGTCCATGTGCTAAAACCAGGAAGCCTCAGGCAAACTGGGACAGTTGGTCACCTTTGCTTCAGGAGGTCCTTAAACCCCCACGCACTATACACAAAATGTTATGAGTGTACGGCATGTCATTTTCTTTTTTTTTTTTTTTTTTTTTTTTTTTGAGACAGAGTCTTGCTTTGTTGCCCAGGCTAGAGTGAGTGCCGTGGCGTCAGCCTAGCTCACAGCAACCTCAGACTCCTGGGCTCAAGCGATCCTCCTGCCTCAGCCTCCCGAGTAGCTGGGACTACAGGCATGCGCCACCATGCCCGGCTAATTTTTTGTATATATTTTTAGTTGGCCAATTAATTTCTTTCCATTTATAGTAGAGACGGGGTCTCGCTCTTGCTCAGGCTGGTTTCGAACTCCTGAACTCGAGCAATCCGCCCGCCTCGGCCTCCCAGAGAGCTAGGACTACAGGCGTGAGCCACCACGCCCGGCCCGGCATGTCATTTTCTGAAGAGAGTATATCTACAGTCTTCATTCGATCCTCAAAGGGGCAGTTAGATCAGAACCATGGCCTCGGGCAAATCACTTCTTTCAAGGTTTCAGTTTACACTATAAAATGAAACAGACATCTTATTCCCCAAATACTGACTCACATATCTAGCAAATAGCTCTGAGGATCAAGTTTGAAAGAAGGATTGCAAATTCTAGACATTTTATCTAGAAAAGAAGGCTAATGAGCTTTTGTAAGTGAATTTTTAAAAAGAACAGTTCTGGCTGGGTGTGGTGGCTCATGCTTATAATCTTAGCACTCTGGGAGGCTGAGGCAGGAGAGAACTGCTTAAGGTCAAGAGTTCGAGACCAGCCTAAGCAAGAGAGAGACCTCATCTCTACTAAAAATAGAAAATATTAGCCGGGCATGGTGGCGCATGCCTGTAGTCCCAGCTACTCGGGAGGCTGAGGCAGGAGGATCACTTGAGCCCAGGAGTTTGAGGTTGCAGTGAGCTATGATGATACCACTGTACTCTAGCCAGGGCAACAGAGCGAGACTCTTGTCTCAAAATAAACAAACAAACAAATAAATAAAAATAAAAGAACAGTTCTACCATGACACTGATAGCTAACATTTCTGAGCCCCAATCATAAGGCAGGCACTGAGCTAAGGGATTTCCATGTACTATCTATCTAATTCCGTCCTTACTGTTATTCTCCCCATTTAACAGGGCAACAAAGAGTGATGAAGTAATTTACCATGGCCTCATGGTTGGTGAGGCTGAGATGGAATCCACATCCCAGGCATTTGAGGCCCAGAGCCCACATCTGTTGCCAAACCTCAGACAGTTCAACACTTGATACGGGAACTCAAGATTTGGGACGTCCATAGACATAACTCTATCTGACCCTAACTGGAAGTCCAAAACTTGGAAGACAAAGATACTGGGCATTCACTGGGCTCTTACGATATGCTAGACCCTAGGTCCATTCCCACCGGTTCTCTCTTTAATCCTCCCAGCAACTCTGAGTGGTAATCATTATTCTACCCATTTTGTAGATTAGCAAGTTGAGGCTCACGGAGGCAAAGCAGCCTCTCCAAGGTCAATCAGCCAAACAACAGGGTAGGACACAGCAGCATCCAATGCAATGGGAGGAGGTGAGAAACGGGAGAAGTAGGAGTAAAATCATGGAACAAAGTTGGAGCAACCTCAGAGCCCAACCTTCCTATTTCAGAAATGGAGAAGCTGAAGGTATTTAGCAAGTTGCCCAAAGTAAGATGGTGAGCAACAAAGTCAGGACTCAAACCCAAGCTTCCAAACTCTCAGATTCCCAGGTCAATGTTCTCTCTAGATGGTGCATAAGGGGGTGTGTGAAAGTCATAGATAAACCAAACTCATCTTTCTAAAGAACCTGGATTGCTCAATGACAAACAACAGTTTCATACTAAAACAAACAGGAACATCGGGAGCAGAATGTCACATTTATTTTTTAAGACATAACCTAAAGCTGTAAAATAATTTCCAGGCTCCCACCCTGACTTCCGGGAATAAACATTTCCTTTCCATTGTCCTCAGGGGACCTTTAGTGGCAAACTCTGAGAAACACTGAGCTACTTCCCAATGCTTTGGGCAGGTGCCACATGGGGACACTGAGGCCTGTGGGCGCCTCTGCTTGTCCACAGTACAATGAGTCCATGGCAGTCTGCACCTCCTGGACGGCAGACCTCACCTGCCACCCTCCTCCAGGGCCCAGCCCAGGTGGGGGGTGTCGGGCCAAGCTCTCACTGGCCAAGGGGACGGATTCTGGGAAGGCCACACTGGCCCTCCAGCCAAGGCTGCACAACTGGGCCTGATATCCCAAATGGCTCTCCCAGCCCTGACACTCGGGTCCTTCCAAGAAGGGGGGGAGCTGGGCAGGACAGGGATGCAGCCATCAGCTGCTGTCACCCACCCTGTAATTTCCTGGACTTTTATCCATTTTCCCCTCAATTATGTGGTGCTCAAAATGGTCCTTTTTGGCTTCCTCACGGGCTCTTGCCTGCTCATGCCTTCTTTGTGTCCCAGGTAATTGCTAGTGACCTTTTCTAAGTGTACTAATTAGAGGTGCTGATTTAATATTATATTTAAGACAAGACGCCCCGCAATTTTCCAGCTGGGCACATACTCCCCCGCCCGGTACTGTTCTGCAGCGCTGCAGAAGCCCGCCCTGGCTTCTCGGGGAGGCAGGGCTGCTTCCCCCGACAGGGGAGGTTCCAGCAACCACTGTTTGTTTACACCGTTCCTATGGAAATGAGGCGGGTGCCTAGAGTTCCCAATTCCAGCCCAGCGCCCTCAGCAGCAGCCACGGAGATCTACTCCTGGTGCAGTGACCCTCGGTGTACCTGCCACACGCTAGGTTTGCTTCCCACCTGGGAAACACAGAGTGTCTCCTGCATCTCGGGGCTGCAGGATCCCTGGAGTTCTTTTGTGTGTGTGGGGGTGCGTGTGTGGTTAAAATACCCATCACATGAAACTTACCACCTGAACTATGCAAAGTGTACAATTTAGTGGCATTTAGCACGTTCACAATGTTGTATGACCGTCACCACTATCTAACCCCACAACATTTCCTCACCCCAGAGGAAACCGCATACCCATTAAGCAGTCACTCCCCATTCCTGCCCCCACCCCAGCCTCTGGCAACCTCAAATCCACTTCCTGTCCCTATGGAGCTGCCGATTCTGGACATTTCAGATGAACAGAATCACACAACACGTCGTGGCCTTGTGTGTCTGACTTCTGTCACTTGGCATAATGTTCTCAAGGTTCATCCACGTCATAGCATGTGTCGGCTCCCCACTCCTTTTTACGGCCAAGTAATATTCCATTGTGTGGATGCAACACGTTTAACCATGCCTCAGTTGATGGACATTTGGGTTATTTCCACCTTTTGGCTATTGTGTGTAATGCTACTATGAACATTTGTGCACATGTGTTTTTTTTTAACACCTGTTTTTTATTCTTTTGGGTATATGCTTAGGAGTGAAGTGGCTGGGTCATATAGTAATTCTAAGTTTAATTTATCGAGGAACTGCCAAATCGTTTTCCACAGTGGCTACATCATTTTACATTCCCACCAGTAATGGATGAGGCCTGGAGTTCTTTTCCACGGTAAGCAGGATATGCACTGATTCACAGGGCTGGGCACCCCTTTGTGACAGAGATGGGAGCGGGGGGGGGGCATGTAGCAGGAGCTGCTGGCCCCCTGCCCACTGCCCCTCAGCACATACCATCTCCCCAAACACCATCCTGGCCTCCGCCTGCCAGCCCCTGGGACGCTCTGCCCGAGGGGCTCCGGGCATCGGAGACTGCAGCTCCCCGACACAGC